GACAGTGATTCGAACCCGCGACCCTCAGATTGCGAGTCGAGCGCCTTATCCACCTGGCCATGCCAGTTAAAGTTTAGACAAGGAAAGAACTGGCTAGACGAAAACTGTGTCTACGACTACGTTTTGTTTTTGTTAAATCATTGGCTCATTGGTATCTTAAGATTCATCTTCGTCCTTCTGATGATGACCATACTTTGTAAACTAGTTTTTTTTTAATTTGTTAGTTTTCTTTAACTGATATTTTTGAACGTCATCTTTTACAGCTTGAAGATTGTCAACTGAAAATGATGGTAAGTAAGATCATTATACTGTTATAATGTTATGGAACTTTAAAAAAAATTGTCGATATAATATAAGATTTATAGCTAGTAGTAATATTCATTCTTAAATACACGCAGAAATAGGTGTTGTCTTGGACGTTACTTAGAAAACAACAACAACAAAATTTCACCTGAAAAAGACAGTCTAACAATACCGAGCGTCCTAGTGGGTCAACGGTAAGTCTGACTGAGGGCTGAATGCGTTAAAAATTTCGTTTTAATATCAGCGGTGGGCAGTGCACAGGTAACCCAGTCTGTGCTTAACAATAAACAAACACATTACTTGACGTCTCATGTTTGTACAACACATTTTTTTCTCTTTTACCGGGTTTTGACCGGAACGGTAATTATGTTAACCAAAAACAATAAGTGCCCGGTACAAAGACCTACTTGGATAAATAAGGTGTCCATGTTTCTAATCAAAGGGATAAGCGTATTATATCGACTACTCGGTATGGAAGGTCAATTTTTAGACTTCCACCCCAACGTTCCAATCTTTTTATCTAATGTATATGACTGATGTTCACCGAACATATCGATAATGGTTTACATTAACTGAATGAACGAAAATTGTGTAGCCAAATTTATTAAACATAATTTTTGAAAAAAGCTGATTAATAAAACTTTTATAAAAATTAGTTAGTAGTTACTAAATATATATTTAAAGCAACTTTAATTTAACAATAAACTATTCTCGTTTGTTTATTTGTAGTTTAGCTACACAATGGGCTACCTGTGCTGTGCCCACAACGGATATCGAAACCCAATTTTTAGGTTCGTTTTCTAACCGCATTATGCCATGTAATAAGTACTCTAACTTAACAACAATATGACATACACGAAAATGATCTTCTTAACCCTAAAATACATAACCAGTTTACATTTTTAAACTGACCTTACATTTCCCTAACATATACGCTGTACGTAGGTCATGTCATGGGATATTGTAAATAAATAATCACTTATGTGGGTGGGAGTGACACACTCCCATACACAAACTTATAGAATACTCCGTTTACTTGCTAATGCCAAACATACTTATCACGTGATGTATTAAGGGATTTCAGTCCTACAAATATGAGCCTGTAGTCGTATCATGGGTAAGAGCAAAGATCTTTTAAAGGGGTATGATAGTTGGTGCCCATCTATAAAAATCAGCTTCACCAAAGAGCGCTTCGTTGACAAACAGCAGAAACAACCACGAAGGAATATGTCTGCTACATGTGTGTTATAGATAAATCATGTCATAGGATAAATTGCTGCCTAAAGAAAAATACATTCGGGTGAGCATGTAATGGGTAACATAAATCCCATAGTAATGCTCAGGACTTGGACATTTCCAGTCAACCATTTGAACGATATTACAAAACTGACAGTTGACAATCAATCCAACACATATTTATTTAAGATGTTTGGTTTGTTTGTAATTAAGCACAAAGCTACACAATGGGCTATTCGTGCTATGCCCACCACGGGTATCGAAACCTGGATTCTAGCGTTGTAAGTCAGCAGACATATCGCTGTGCCACTGAGTGGCTATTTGGGATGTAAACAGAAGTGTACAGCTCCATTTATATTCAGAGCTTAAAACGATAAAAGATCAAATCAATCCCGCTTTTGTTGTTCCAAAAATACAAGTTTCTATGGCTAAATCTGACGTGAGTGTATAATACACCCACGTTGGTAATCAAGCTACATCTTCTGCAACATTCTTATAGCAGGGGTTGAATCTTTATTTTGTTTTAAAAAAGCAAATAACATTGAAAGTGCACCTGAACGTTGTTACTCATTTCCACCCTTACGAACAAGGGCTCTTCTAAAACGATAATACATCCTATTGTTTAAAGAGAAAGTAGTTACCTTCCTTAATCAGAATAATTGTCATAACCCAATCAAATGAACCACCTTTGGAATAAACCTGAACGTTGAACTTGAAACTGAACTTCCAACAGTTGTAAACCATACCATCAGTCTTGCACAGTCCATGCCGTGTCAATTCGAAGTGAATAATAATACAATTTAATATTGGTGGTGGTGGGTCTTAATAAAGTGGCCACACGATGTAAGTAAAACAACAGTTATTACTTTTTGTGAGCAAACAACTCTTTTCTACTTCCAGGATTACGGATTTAGACCATGGACTGAAAGAACAAACTACCCGTTAAACCCAACTAGATGGGCAGGGCAATGGCCCCTGAGAAGAGGAAGTAGATGGGATCACCACTCCAAAAACAGGAATAGCATTAGGATGAGTGGGGCACAACGAAGATATCGATTCCATGATATAAACAGACCATGGGATTGGCAGCAAAAACAGGAAATATTACCCTGGCAATGGCAAGACAGTAAAGAAATAGGGCCATTTGCACCCAGAAGACTGCAAAGAGAACACCTTTCATCCTGGAGAAGGCCTAATGGAAGGTTGATGACTTCAAATTCTTGGATGTCCAGACATAGAAGATTCAAACGACATATGGAGTGGTTTCACAGGTCACCTTTTAGTAATCATGGTCCGAGAATGTGGGAAAGACAGAGATGGGAGAGTTGGTCAATTTGTCCTTTTGCTGGGTTCAACAATTTTGACATATACAATGCATGGGTAAGTTCTATTACATATATATATACATTAAGGTAACGAGATGAAGACACATCAATTCCACAACCAAGTTAGGATGAAAGATCTGAGTTAAACCATACTAACCAAATAATGCCTATTGCTTTAACATTTTTATTCTAACAGCCATAACCTGTGACTACTTTTTGTGCCAACACCAACTTACAATGCAAATGTAATTTTCATTTTCTTTTTCAGTTCTGCATTCATTCTACAGCATGAGGATTTGAGAATCGACGATTTTTTCCAATACTTCTAATCTTTTGTTAGATATAGTACATTATTATAGACATTGACGCTACATTTTAGTTGTGTGTTTGTTTATCTATGTTTGTGTGTACGTGTTTAATATAAACACTTACTCATGTCCAGGCATCTAACGTGTTTGCAACGGTGCTATCCGTTTATTGTTGAAATTTATCACCAACAAGTTACAGACACCTACTCTAAAGATTCGCGGCAATTGCATTTCTCATAAAGTAAAGACACACTGTGTGCACATTATACAGTCGATTGCATTTCTTCTTCGTGCTTTTCAGAAAACATACACTACTACATTAACCTTATTTTATTTTTGACATTTCAGTACATTTAATATACTCATATGTACTCTTGTAGTGAAAATTCATTAAAATATTGTAATTTTGAAATAACAAAAACGACGTTGGACATTGGTCGAGTTACATAACAGCCTTTCTTTACGTTGCATAACGGCCTTTCTTTAAAACTCCACTTGTTTTAAAATAATATATTCAAAACAAATCAAATGTATCTACAAAACATTCTTTACACTGTGGGTTATCACAGTTGTATCCAGAGCTTTAAATAATTGTCTTTTTTTTTTTTGTGAGAGTCCACACAGGCAGGTTCAATTACTTTATAATACCTTTTGACAAGACAAATTATTCTCCTCTACTCAGTTATTCCAATACAATCAGTGGTAAGTTCACTCACGTTATCCTGTGGGTTATCACAGTTGTATTCAGAGCTTTAAATAACCCTCTTTTCAGTCCACACAGGCTGGTTCATTTATTTTAGGTCTCAACTGACAAGGCAAATTATCCTTCTATACTCTGTTATTACAATACAATCTGCAATTATAACACTTTAAAAGTCGCCACTATACGCTCTTTGGGGATAAACTTACAAACACAATCCAGATATATATCTCTCACTAACTTTGTCTTACTTTCATTATCACTAACTTACTTCTTTTATTTAACTTACACTAACTTGGTCGCCTATATATATATATATATATTGTCCGACTGAGGCCTAAAACTTTCTACAAACTATGAGACGTTACGATGTATCAATACTAACTTAAAGCAACGAAAAAAATTATGAAGGTTCAAGTAACGTGAAATCAATTCACAATTGAACTACACAATAAATGATTCGTAACCAGTTACGGAAGCAAACCTGCGTTAAATTATCGCTTCTAAAAATACTAAATTTAATACACGCACTTTATAACTATCTAAATCATAACTCTTGTATTAACTTTAAATGAAACAGTTGTATATCTAAGAGCAACCAACCTTAATGTGCACATTGGGTGGCTTTATACGAAAGGCAATCGACCTTAATGTGCACATTGGGTGTTTTTATAAGAAATGCAATTGACCTTAATGTACGCATCAGGTTTCTTTATAAGAAATGCAATCGACTTTAAAGCGCACATTGGATTATATTGCGAATTTAAAAATCATAGAATTTGGCTGCATAAAATTTAAAGATATTACAATGAGGCGTAGTATAGCATCACTCACCCTGGAAAGGCTTCAACAGTGAGCCATTAAACTCATGTACCCTATAAGCATACATACAGTATTTACAAAGTATGTAAAAGGGCTAAATTTATTAAGCTATGACGTAATAAATACAGTTTGTTTTGTGTTGTTTGAATAGAACACTCAGCCATTTTGAAGTCCATCATTAGAAGTGCAATTCTAAAACTCGACTTTTTAAGTATAGGGGGAACTTTTGGTTCTAAAAAAGTAAATAATAAACCCTGGCTAATACGCGGATACTTACAGTATTTAATACGTTTTATATCATAAGATCCTGATAAAAAAATAAACGATCACTTGAGCAACTTGATAGTACAGATTTTGTTCACTATTCAGTAAATATTTCACAACGAAATGTTGATAGACGAAGATCAGTAACAGTTTACTTATCTTGGTAGACGAAGATCAGTAACTGTGTATTTAGGTTGAAGATAGTAAAGCGCGTATATTCCAATCGAGATAGTATGAATTTCGTTTTGATCCTTAAACATAATTAAACGTGAAGTTTCAAACTAATGCATTTTATATGCAAATATTTTGTTGTTTTTTTACAACGACAAACTTATGAACATATACTACTTTGGAGTAAACTTAACAATTTATTAATTTGTTCAAATAATTGATTTGTTTTTGTTTAAGAATTGTTTTTTTTTCTGTCATGGAATAAGGATATTTACGTAATCAATATTACAACATGAAACGTGTTCATAGGTCTATAAACATACAGACAAGTTTGCTTAATAGTTCACGGTCGAGAACGTAATTTGAAACTACGGCTTCACCTAATAACAAGTTGTTTACTCAACAAATATTACTGGTGAACTCAAAACGTTGGCATAACTGGACTAACGTATGTACTGAAGTTAATGTGACAGACGTTGATATATAAAGAATTGGTTACACGTTAAAATACTTTTTCAGCACTGTGAACTTCTCCGATCACTGCGAAAACATCGTCAGGGAACTGAGAAAAAACAAACTTTGAAATTCTACTAGGAATCAGTTAGAATAAACAATTCCTTGCAATTAACTCCATTGCTTCTTTATATCAGTTTTTTTTTAATTTCGCGCAAAGCTACACGAGGGCTATCTGCGCTAGCCGTCCCTAATTTAGCAGTGGGGAAGGCAGCTAGTCATCATCACCCACCGCCAACTCTTGAGGTACTATTTTACCAACGAATAGTGGATTGACTGTAACATTATAACGTCCCCACGGCTGAAAGGACGAGCATGTTTGGTGGGATGGGGATTCGAACCCGCAACCCTCAGATTGCGAGTCGAGCGCCTTATCCACCTGGCCATGCCGGGCATTTTTACTTCAGTGTAACAGTTCTACTTTTCAAAAGATGTACATATGATGTTGTACGTGTATAAGTACTTAATCATCGATTAGAATGAGTCTTTCGAAATTTTTATTTACCAGTTTACTCAATTCGAGTTAACTGCAATAAAAGTAAGAAGAAATTCTAGGTAGATCATAAAAATGAATTCACTATATTTCCGTGCCTTTTGGTGTGTGTATCTATATAAATATAACAGTACTGTCTGTTGTCTGTCCATGTAATTACTTCGCAGGGTGTGGATGGATCTTCACCAAAATTGGTATGGAGGTTCATTCGGTCCATACAAATTTTCAATTCTGCGGTTTTTATGGGCGTTTTTACAATTACATATAAGGGAAGCACCTTTTCGTGTCCCAAGATAACCTTTCATTAATCATGAATTTCCATAACTTCCGTCCAGGGGACGGATACTTCAGCTAGTACATAATATAATAATATATTCTGTACAGTTACACGTACATACTGAAAATTGTAACTCACATTTCCTATTTAATCCATGATCCAAATTATAAACAATGTGTGTGTGTGTCAGAATTTAAAAAACATATTTTTCTTTTTGCCAATTGTCA